AATCAGATTTGGTCTAGATTTAAAACTTGAAGATTCTTTAGCAGTTTGTTTAGTAGATCAATATCCTACTAGAACTCTAATGGGTATCACTGCAGAAAATTTGCCTAAAAAAATAATATTACTCGTAAACAAGCTGATGAGTACGCTGAATTAAGTCAAAAACGTTAGGCTGATAGTAATTATATTATCTGATTTGATCTTATATTTCAATTTTTTATTTTAAAAAAAAAGTTCATCTAATTTTGCATATTTACAGCTGATGCTGCTAGGTGTTTTTCCGATGAGATAACACTAGTTGAAGTCAAAACAAAAAAAGGCTCTGCATTATTTTCTAGAGATGAGCATCCACGTCTACAAACAACTATCCAAACATTATTTAAACTATCTTCCGTATTTGTTAAAGATACTGGTATAATAATGGCGGGTAATGCATCGGATATTAGTGATGCTGCAGAGGCAATTATTGTAGCTAGTGAAGATGTGTAAAAGAACATAGAATAGTTCCTTTAGCATGTATTGTTAGTTACTCTGTAACCGGTATAGAATCTACTATTATGGGTAAAGCTTGGATCTAGTGGATATCCGACTATCCATTTGTTTATTTTTCGAATTTCAGATATCCGCTCATAAATTATCCAACTAAATCTGTTGAATTAATTAAAAATATAGATATATTGAACTTTATAACATTTACTAAATAGCGAACTTTTATGTAAATTTAACAAATTTTTACTATTATAAAAAGCCTGCCGCAATCAGAATATGTATTTTATTAATATTACCAATGCATATAGCAATATAATTCTTAAAAAAATAATGTTACTAATTACAATACTTTTATCCTACTATATTTATTTTAAGGAAACATTGCACAGTACAATTGACATTCCTTTTAATAAATAGCATGCATTCAAATAAATCTGCATTTAAACAAGTACGTTTTGCAGTCATAAGATTGCCGGCATCACTAAAGAGTCAGTCATTCACTGGGTGTAGACGTAGCTTGGATGAATAAGTATTTTTGTGCTATTTTACTTAATATAGGAAAATTTGATCGCTGGCCATTCCACCATGTTAAAGAATATTAGTTACTTGGAATCCTTGGTAATGCGAGATAAGCCTGAATTTCATTGTTAGTATCAGATTCTTGAATAGGTTCGTATATTGCAGCTAATAACACATTTTCTTTCTCTTCAAAACAATTATTCATTTGTACTATGTCAGTTGGCATCTGTTCTTGTTCTTTAAATGCTTCATATTCAGCTATCAAATGGGTTTTAGTCTCAAGCCTTTGAGAATAAGTTGCAAATTCCATCTTTTTTATTTCTAGGATCAAAAAGTGTTGCAAAAAGAGCTTTACGAATCGAATATTTCCAATAATAATTTAATGCATTAAATAATACCATTTTTATATTTTCAACTATTCCGTTACAGACTTGTGAGTATTAATCTTGGTTTGTAAAATATTTCTAAAAAATACTGAATTGAAACCTATGTGACAAGCTAGATATAGAGCTGTATTATCGGTTT